GATCAAGTGGAGATAGGAAAGAAGACACAACCCCAGCAGACACCATCAACAAGCTCTACAGACATGATACCCTGATATGATTGAGTGGAACGCTTCACGATTTTGCGGGTCATCCTTGCGCAGGGGCCATGCTAATCTTCTCTGTATCGTTCCAATTTTAGTATATGTACCGCCGAACAAGCGATATGATTGAGTGGAGATAAGAAAGAAGACACATCCCCAGCAGACACCATCAACAAGCTCTACAGACTTGATACCCTGATATGTTTGAGTGGAGATAAGAAAGAAGAAGACACATCCCCAGCAGACACCATCAACAAGCTCTACAAACTTGATACCCTGATATGTTTGAGTGGAAATAAGAAAGAAGAAGACATATCCCCAGCAGACACCATCAACAAGCTCTACAGACTTGATACCCTGATAGGATTGAGTGGAAATAAGAAAGAAGAAGAAGACATATCCCCAGCAGACACCATCAACAAGCTCTACAGGCTTGAGACCCTGATATGATTGAGTGGAAATAAGAAATAAGAAGAAGACACATCCCCAGCAGACACCATCAACAAGCTCTACAGGCTTGATACCTTGATATGATTGAGTGGAGATAAGAAAGAAAAAGACACATCCCCAGCAGACACCATCAACAAGCTCTACAGGCTTGATACCTTGATATGATTGAGTGGAGATAAGAAAGAAAAAGACACATCCCCAGCAGACACCATCAACAAGCTCTACAGACTTGATACCCTGATATGATTGAGTGGAGATAAGAAAGAAGACACATCCCCAGCAGACGTTATCAACAAGCTCTACAAGCTAGATATCCTGATATGATTGAGTGGAGATAAGATAGAAGAAGACACATCCCTAGCAGACACCATCAACAAGCTCTACAGACTTGATACCCTAATATGATTGAGTGGGGATAAGAAAAAAGACACATCCCAGCAGACACCATCAACAAGCTCTACAGGCTTGATACCCTGATATGATTGAGTGGAGATAAGAAAGAAGAAGAACACATCCCCAGCAGACACCATCAACAAGCTCTACAGACTTGATACCCTAATATGATTGAGTGGGGATAAGAAAAAAAGACACATCCCAGCAGACACCATCAACAAGCTCTACAAGCTTGATACCCTGATATGATTGAGTGGAGATAAGAAAGAAGACACATCCCCAGCAGACACCATCAACAAGTTCTACAGGCTTGATACCCTGATATGATTGAGTGGAGATAAGAAAGAAGACACATCCCCAGCCACAGACACCATCAACAAGCTCTACAGACTTGATACCTTGATATGATTGTTGAGTGGAAATAAGAAAGAAAAATACACATCCCCAGCAGACATCATCAACAAGCTCTACAGGCTTGATACCCTGATATGATTGAGTGGAAATAAGAAATAAGAAGACATATCCCCAGCAGACACCATCAACAAGCTCTACAGACTTGATACCCTGATATGATTGAGTGGAAATAAGAAATAAGAAGAAGACACATCCCCAGCAGACACCATCAACAAGCTCTACAGACTTGATACCCTGATATGATTGAGTGGAAATAAGAAATAAGAAGAAGACATATCCCCAGCAGACACCATCAACAAGCTCTACAGACTTGATACCCTGATATGATTGAGTGGAAATAAGAAATAAGAAGAAGACATATCCCCAGAGACACCATCAACAAGCTCTACAGACTTGATACCCTGATATGATTGAGTGGAAATAAGAAATAAGAAGAAGACATATCCCCAGCAGACACCATCAACAAGATCTACAGACTTGATTCCCTGATATGATTGAGTGGAAATAAGAAATAAGAAGAAGACATATCCCCAGCAGACACCATCAACAAGCTCTACAGACTTGATACCCTGATATGATTGAGTGGAAATAAGAAAGAAGAAGACACATCCCCAGGAGACACCATCAACAAGCTCTACAGACTTGATACCCTGATATGATTGAGTGGAAATAAGAAAGAAGAAGACACATCCCCAGCAGACACCATCAACAAGCTCTACAGACTTGATACCCTGATATGATTGAGTGGAGATAAGAAAGAAAAGAAGAGAACTCAGTATCTACTTTATAATTCAACAGAAAGCACCTATCCTTTTAAGTGTTGAATTAAAGAAGTTTGAGTATAATACATAGATTTGATTATAAATTGAGATAAGGTACAATTTGGATTATAGATTAAAAATACCAGTTAATAAGATCAAATTCAAATAAATAGTGTGATATTTCAGTAACAGCGTTATAAGGCACAATTTGGATTATAGATTATAAACAAAAGGTAATAAGACCAAATCCAAATAAATAAATAGTGTATGACGTTTCTGTAACAGCATTGTTACCATATTCAGACAAAAGTACTGAATCAGTACTTTCAGTATTCAGTACTTTTGTCTGAAGATGGTAACAACGCTGTTACAGAAACATCACACACTATTTATTTATTTGGATTTGGTCTTATTACCTTATGTAGTAACAGCGTTGTTATCATCAGACAAAAGTACTGAATGAGAAAATATATCGCAGCATGTTCAAATAGTTACTGTTCACTACACACTTGATAACAGTAACTATTTAAAACATACTATCATATAATTGATAAGGCAAAATTTGGATTATAGATTATAAACAACGAGGTAATAACATCAAATCCAAATAAATAGTGTGTAACGTTTCAGTATCAACATTGTTACCATCTTCAGGCAAAAGTGACAAAAGATGGAAATAACATTGTTACAGAAATGTCACATACTATTTATTTATTTGATTTGGTCTTATTACCTTGTATTTATGCTATGATATATTTTCTTATGTAGTATTTTTGTGTGTCTGATGATGGTAACAATGCTGTTACCGAAACATCACAGACTATTTATTTGGATTTGGTCTTATTACCTTGTGTTTGATTATACATATACAAGATATGGTAACCAGGAAGCTATGCAATCAGCTATGGCACCTCTACACTCCCCTTTACTGATGTAAAATGCTCATTACTTGAGCAGAACCATGTATTGTCAAGCAATGTCCCTTACACCACTAAAGATGTTTGGCATGATATCAATCATCTAGCAAATATCAACCAATAAAAATTAAGCTTTTATATCATGGGAAAAGTATTATAAAATAAACAGTAAAGTGTACCAGAAGATTATTGTATTATTTTTGTTTCAACATTTTTTCTTTAAATATTGACATATTTTCTCTAATAATAATAGACCAAATAGATAAACTATATTTTTATACGTCTGTTTATAAATAATCAGATTTAAAATGTCAAAATAATAATTTGTTTAATATAACAACATTAATACCTCAAGGACAAAATATTAATATTTTTCTTTTGGAAATAAATTTTTTAAATTGTGTATTTAGATAAAGTGTATTAAGTAATTTATATATGAATTATAAAATTTATTTACGGTTAAATATTTTTTAAATATGTAAATAATGATGTATTATTTTTTTAAATTGCTTTAAGATACCTATTTTTGGAAGTAAAATCTTTATTGGCAAATTAAATATTTCCTTTTAAATAGTTTATTGTGCCGATCGCTTGTTAGTATTTAAAAAATATTATTTAAATATAATATTAAAATCTCATTTTTGTGGCTTAAATCTTTTACACACACTAAGCTAAGTTTATATTTCATCTATTAATATCTTCGAAAATATAATTAAGTTATCCCATTCTAAATTATTTGTGATATTTTTAATTTTTTCAAAAAAGCATTTTGCAAGATTCTTGTCGCGATGTAGATTTGAGGATTTTAAAGTTCAAAACAAATTTAAATGTCCAAGTATGTACTAAAAAGTGCCTTATTTTTATATGCGTCTTCTTGCATATGTTAACAGAATATGCTTTTAATAAGTAATCCTAGCTATTTATAAGTATTTTTATGTGTTAATAAATGTTTGCTCGCGTAGAGTAAAAGGGTGAAATTTTAATAAATAGTAGCTAAACCGGTAGCTGTCAAAATGGCGGCCAGCAGGAATAAAGTGCAAAGATCTAGCAAGGGCAAACTTACTTTTGATGGCGCGTTCTGTTGTTGAACTCTTGGCATTGTTGGCCGACATCTCTAAGTCTTCCTAATTAGTCCAAGAGTTCACAAAAAAGGGGAACACAACTTTACTTCTTGACGCAGAGCATAGAGCACAGCAAGTAAAACCAATGGCGTAAATATCTAGATCGGACACATTTTGTATGAACACCGCGCATAATTTTGCGCAAGATGCGAATTTCCCCTTATAACTTATTTTCAATCCTTTATTTTATTAAAACATAGATTGAAATTCTTAAAATAATTATTTTTAAATAATTATATTAATTTAATATTTTTTCAATTTGATTTAAACATGCAATTTGTTTCTATCGAAGCGAGTGCTCTGTAGATACCTATCGCCATCTATGTTTCATTTTTTAAATTATTTAAAATATTTCTGTCGAATTATTCTTTTAATTACACACATATAAACATATTCAAATATAGATTAATATATATTTGTAATATCACTTAATATTTTTATTAATTTAAAATTCATAATAAAAATTTCAAACAAGTAGATATTTGTATTTTAAAAATATATAATTTATTTTCATTTTTTTGCCAAATATATATATACTAGACGAATGGCCCGGGCAACGCCCGGGTTTTACCCGAGTGCGTATATATTTTATAAACGTTTTAATTCAAATACTATTCGTTACAATTATAAATTGGCGCCATGGATGTCACTCTTGTGAAACGTCCCGTTCCAAACTGTGTGTTTTTAAAATGTTTTAATTAAAATACTATTCGTTACAATTATAAATTGGCGCCGTGGATGTCTCTCTTGTGAAACGTCCCGCCCCAAACTGTGTGTGTCTTGAAAATATAAAAATGAAAATGTGAACGGAAAAATATGTCCAGGGTAGCCTAGTGGTCATGGCATCTGCCCGGTAAGCGGAAGGTCGTGGGTTCGATTCATATCCCATCCCATCCCTTTTTTTATTTTATCCATTCTGACCAAAATCTATCCGTGAACTTCACACAGACAGAATAAGGCAATTATATAAGTAGATAAGTATAATAATAATTATTATTATTATTATTATCATTAGATAATGATCATAATGATGCGCGCGTTGATGACCAAAATCTATCCGTGAACTTCACACAGACAGAATAAGGCAATTATATAAGTAGATTTCTCTCTCTATTGCGTATATATTTGCACATAATAAAAAAAACCAAAGGATTTTTGTAGAAAAAAACACGATCATCAGCTTAAATTAATTACTTTGGATGAATTAGTCCTAAGATTGGTATGCCTTCTCAATCAGGCTTCATAGATCCATAGCCATTGTTTTTTAACTAGTGGAAAGACGTTGTCTTGGTTTCTCCTTTCAGTTGGTCTACAAATGTAATATGCACACATTCTCTTGATCCAATGCCTTCAAGTACATACCATTAAAAATACGAAATCGTAAGGCGTAATGTTTCTTTAGAGTTTTTTAAAATAATTTTTATTATTTTAGCCGAACTTTCAAGAATTTCAGTCCTTCTACTGTAAAGACGAAAAATATCAATCACGGATGTCTCATATATAACTATTTTAACATGAGAAAATAAAAAAACTCTAACTGGCCGAATTTTTCATAGAAATATTTTAACATCTATAACTTTCAAGCTTTAAAGTCCTTCTACAGAAGTATTTTGGGGACTAACTACAACTATGAATGGGCGTTGAAGCTTGAAAAAGCTAGAGAGATGTTAAAAGAGTTATTATCATCTATTAAAAAAAATAAAATCCCTTCTCCTGTCAAAATAGATAGATATAAATAGATATGAAATAAAGCAATCCATAAATAAATCTTTAATTAAAAAGGCATATATTGGATAAATAATATTTTGATCCAATATATGTAACGTCCTGGTTTGAGGCACCAGTCTCCTCGGAGGCGTGGGTTCGAATCCCACCGCTGCCACCATGTAACGTCCTCGTGTGTGCTGGTTGACGTTAATCAGCAAGAAGTACTTGGAAGTTAAAAAAAGAAAAGTATTTATTTCTTTTAGGCTAACATCAGACAATATATATTATATCAGACATTCATCATCATTCATTCTGTACATAACCCGGACTCCTGGAACGTACGAAAGTCGCCAACTGTCCGGGTTTGTCTTCTGACTTATTGTCCATTTGTTGCAGTTGACATCCAACTGATTAGATGTCGCCAGGCTGTTTTATTTTTGGGGAGGTTCTTCAGTGCTTCTTGGTTGAATGTGCTGGTGTTAAGTAGAGTTGCAGTCTGGAATCTCTGAAGATGGTAGGATGGGCAACTGAATAGGAGGTGGTCGACTGTTTGATTTTCTTGGTGACAGTGTTGGCATACGGGGTCGTTGTTTTTGGAGGTTCTGGCGATGTCGGCTTGAACGAAGCCATGTCCTGTCAGAATTGTAGAGGTGACGTTGCAATATTTTAGTTTTGGGAGAATTGAGATTAGAAGACTAGGAGATGCAGCTACTCTTCTGAGGTTTCTTGTAGCATGGTCTGTGGTGTAGAGGTCGGTCCATAGTTGGAGGGCGAACTGTTTGCTTTGAAAGCGGACATATATCCTAGGAAGGGTTGCGAAGTGTAAAGGCAATTTGGATTGAGCTGCGGCTTTGGCGACTTCATCAGCCTGTTCATTTCCAACGATGCCGCAATGACTCCGGACCCAGCAGAGTTGAACATTGTCCAGAGTATTGAGGTTTCTGATTATCTCTGCAGTAAGTGGGGTTCTAGGTATATCGGGGTGACAGATGGCATGTAGAGCTGCCTGGCAGTCGGAAGCAATGACAAAGTCTTGTCGCGGCATGATCCTAATAGATCTGGTGGCGTAAAGAATCGCCAAAAGTTCCGCCTCTCCCATCAAAATAGATGCTAAAATAAACTAGGTGCATCCATTGACCAAAATGTCTATCTATATAGCTTCGACATTGAGGTTGCCAAACTGCAGGCGTTCCCTCTAAGAAATCGGCCTTCATCATCGGCCGGCCGCCGGACCTGCAGTCCTGGATCTTTCCAGTTGGTCTCGAGGACCACGCCATCTCCTCAGCGGTGAAGTATGTGATCTACGTATTCTTCGTAGATCACGAAATACGTGGTGTCGCTGGAGACCCACTGGCGATTCTCCACCAAACTCTGCAGCACTGGCAGTGGCGCCATATTCATTGTACATAGTGTATATAATGCGTATTATATTTTTTTTAAATAGTGCAGACTGTGTACTTTGTATGTAATGACAAGATAAAATTATTTTAATTGTCAATTGTCTAAGAAAAAGGGCCGAGGGAATAGTGGCCAATGTGCTCTTTTTCATGGAGGTCGGCAGTGGGGAAAGCGGACTAATGTGTCTACTTGGAGTTCTGCCCAGACTTCACACAAGAGAAGTATTTCCGTGCGTTGGAAGCCAAGCTGGGCAAGGGAACCATCTACCAGCTGACAAAGATGGAGGGACACATCCTGGTCGGCCTCTCCAGCGTGCAACTCGCCGACAAGCTGATAGAAGAAGGCCTCGACATAGAGGATGCCACCCTGCAGTCCTTCCCTCTGAGAAAAAGAGCCGAGCAAATTGTGATCTGAAATGTGCTATTCTTTATGGAGGACTCTGACCTCGTCGCTGCTAACGACCTTACGGACAGGTCACGTCCTTAGTCCAGAAGATGATGCTGCTCGAAGACTCATGCTGGGCTGATGCTCGTCGGGAATGTTTTATCTCTCTGAGAGACGGAGTAAAGTTCTCCCAGATCCCTGCCCAGCTGGATGTCAAGTCCAAGGGAGTGGTCACACACGTTTACGTGACCTATGGCCTCAAGTGTTCCCTGTGCTAGAAGCAGGGACACAAACATGCAAATTGTTCTCGAAAGACTGGCCTTCAGGAGGACAAGCTGGTGCTCCTTGTGGATACTTCTACTGCACGCACTAAAGCCTGGACCAAGCCGCCCTCCACTTCGAACGCCCCTCCTGTTGCAGCTCCTCCATCGGTTGCTACTGTCGTCGCAGATCCTCCTCCCAGCGACACAGATAGAACAGAAGAGGCGGTCGACCTGACTCCTCTACCCGAAAATCAAGTGCCTGAATCTCACAAAAAAAAGCACTATCGCTGAATATCAGATGGACGTTCTCCTGAGGAACGAAAAGGTATCTGCAGTCATAATTCGTGCCCAGAAGCAGGGCCTGGAGAGAGAAAATAGCCTCCAGGCCTTCACGCACAATGGGAAGATGGACCGGTTCATCGCCCAATCGAGCGCCGAGAAGCCATTGCCAACCTGGCAACGCACTAGTGGCTCGTACTGGGAAAACGAGCAGTACCCTGTACAAGAAGCTCTCGCGCTAGGAACTCTGTTCGGCAGCTCAAATAACCTTCCGAGTTACAACACTGAACACGTGCGGCATCGCCGAGGAGAATCCAGCTCTGCTGTTTTCTAAAGGAGCATGAGATTGACATCTGGTTCTTGCAGGAGACAAACGTCATGTCCCTGGACTTCCTAGGAGACCTCTGCCACGGCTACAGCGCCGTTGTTGCGCCCGCAACGACCACCATTGGATCAGGCCTCGCCTGCATTTTCGCGGTCAGCGTTGTTGTTCATCGGCAGCAGATCCTATGGCCTGGCAAGATGGCTGTAATTGATCTCACCGTCCGGGGAGTCTCCATGACGTGTGTCAACGCCCACGTCTCTCATGCTCCTGAAGAGCGCCGCCGCCAGCTCCAGATCATCGCAGCTTTGGCGCGTGAAGAAGGTGCGTGGATCCTCGGTGACCTGAACATCTCCGAGAAGTCGGTGAAGGACCTGGCATCTGGTTGAGCAGAAGTCCTCGCGGAGCCTCTGGACCAAGCCGACTTCGTCACCTTCTTCGATGCTGAACTGGAGCACACCAGGGTTGCTACTATCGGAAGCCGGGTCGACGCGTGTCGCCTGGACAGAATCATACTTCCATCAGGTTTCTGCAACCGCGTCACCCAATACCAAACTATAGGCTTCGCCTACTCGGACCACCGTGTCGTCCTGATCCGAATGGGAGATCCAGCTCCTACAAGACTTCCTTGCATTGCAAGCAGCTACAGTCAGACCCGTTTGTCGATCGAATGGAAAGGTTCATCGATTAATTATCGGAAGGCGTCGTAAATCTTCCAATAATCCTGATGTTATGGGAACAATTGACCACTCGATACAATCACTCGCACCTGCCGTCGTCGAGCCGGTGACATCGAGAGAGCAAGCAACTTCTTGAGGCAGAGACTGGAGGACGACACTGCCCGCTCCGACTATCCTTCCTTGTCGGACCTCAGGATTTCCTCCGTGACAGACGTCGCTCTCCCTCCACCTTCACCGACGACGACGGCAACGCCATCCCCGGGGGCCAGCTTAGGCGTTTCCTTCTGAAGCTCTTAAGCAGTCGCTTTCGCCCAGGCTTCAAGCTCGGCAGAAGCGATCGCCGACTTCCTACCTGAAGTGACCCCTTGGAGTTCGACGAGTGGGATCAGCTCTTTATCGCCGACATCTCCGGCGACCAGATAGCGGCTGCCATCCACCGCCTGCCAAAAGGCCGTGCCTCGGGATGGGACGGATTACCTTGTGGGTTCGTTAAAGCCTTTGAATATTTCTTCGCCGAAATTCTTTGGCAAGTCTTCAAGGCATCTCGACTCGACGGGGCCTTGCTTCATCCTCAAAATGCAACAAAGTCAACCTGCTGCCGAATTCGCACGGTGGTCCGGGTCTACAGGTATTCCGTCCAATCAGCATCCAACGACCGACTACAGGCTCCTCAGTGGCAAGCATGACATGCCGCTGGCTGTCACCTCTCTGGCCCTGAAGTCGGCGTTCGACACCCTGAGCAGGAGCTACCTGTTCGCCTTGTTGGAGAATCTGGGCCTACCATCTACCTTTCTCAGGTGGATTACTGTCCTCTACGGAGAAGCAGGCGCCGCCATCCAGATCAGAGATGTCCACACCAAAGCC